AGGTTTGACTGTACTTCCAACCGCGCTGCCAGCGCGAAGAAAAAGAAGTACCGTCAAGCTCTCCAGGATCTCCGTACGCGTGGGTCTTTCACACCACTGGTGTTCCACGGATGCGGGGCTGCATCGTGAGTATGCCAGCTAACTGTATCAGAAGCGACTTGCTGGTCGCCTCGCCCTCAAGTGGGACAAGCCCTTTTCAATCATATTCACTTGGGTGCGAATTCGTACCCAATTTGCAGTGTTCCATGCAGTCGCGGGTCCAGAAGGCGCCTGACTGGCGTGTCGACCCAGGATGGTACTGGGATAGGCATCGGCCATTGAGAACTGAATTTCGTCTGTTTTGCGTGGAATTTCTTAGAGTTTTCCAGGTAGAGTATTGTACTGGAATATTATCTTTTTTCTTTTCATGGTGTCTCTATTTTTCACATCTACATGACTTTATCTTGCCCGTAAAAGAGGCCGTTAATAACGCGTTAGAGGCGTTACCCCGGTAAAAAAATCTAACATTAGTTTCTCCACTGAGCTCTCTTCACTTCACCACCTTGTCACTTTTTTCCAGGAATGATTAGCAAGGCCCTACGCGTGTTTTATTACTGTCTTTCCTTCTCCTTTCTTATCCTACACTGTGTGGTAAGGAATGTGTGGACGTGGAGGAATTGTATGAAAATGAGAATTTTGGTCCCTGGTTCGAGTACTGCTGGTGACAGTCAATTTTTTCTTCAGACTTTTCCCGTTTGCATATTTCCCTCAAACCAATGCCGGGACTAGGCAGGCATAGTGGGATGGTCTAAGACCATGATTGAGAAATAGAGGGTACCAGGTTCAAGTCCTGCTTGGAAGCGGAAGGAATTTTTCCAGCCGTGCTGCGACCCACAGTTAATTGGGAACTCGTGGCCTGGCACGAGGGTAACATGGATGCAGCTAATGGGATTTCGGTCTTTGACCACTTGGTGGTGGGTCTGATCTACTCACCTCCCACCGTTTAGGCGCTGCATCTGCGCCTTGATCCTAGAGGGTGGTGGCGTTCCCACGGCGGATGCGGAAAACTCGGCTTCCAGCCGAGTCTCACGCGAACAGTGAATTTTTTTAATTTATTAATGCCGGAATACCGGGCATTCTGAAATTGGGAATTTAGCCCAGTAGTTCTCAGTTTGTCTCCCTTCCTTGGTTGTAGATTTACCTTTTTCAACTTAATCCTCCCTACCAGATTTCCCTTTGGTGCGTCCATGGAGCCATGAATAGCCCTTTCCCAAAGATGCTCGCCAATTTTTTCGCAACTTTTTGTTGTTTTGGAAGAAATCGCAACTTTCGCAACTTTCTTCATTTTGCAAACTAGTTCGCAACTTTTAGGCAACTGTTTTCATGGAAACGCCTTGGAGGAGACCATTCTTCAATGCGACGGACCGGACCCCACGATAGGCGGTCAGTAGGCCTTGACGGATTATGCTAGCATAATTTTTCGCATAATTCCTACCAAAATCGAATAATCGCATAATTCGAGGCAAATTGCATACGAATCGCATAAAATTGTAATAATCCGCCTGTTCGCATCAAATTCCATACGGTTGTACATGTTCTACAAGTACAAGTACAAGTAGATGCACTAGGAAGTTGTAGGTTTACGACTCCCTTGATAACATGTCCAGTCCACTACAATCAGTGATGGTCGTAGCTAGGTCGGACGGTGCGCTGACCCCGTTGAACTTTTGCTACCACAGTACAACGCCCTCTACAAAAAAATTCCCCTGTTATTTTGCACAGAACCATTAAACATTAGCAGCATATGTGAGCATAATGCGGCATAATATGATAACTCTTAGCATAAAAATAGCATAATTCTGCAATTTTTTCAGCAATGCGAAAAGCATAATTTCACGAAAATATTAGCATAATCCGTCAAGGCCTAGCGGTCAGCCTTTGGGTCATCCTAATAAAGTTATTATTATTATTATTGAAGTGTCTGTGATGCTCCGCTTCAACAAGAAGTGCTGAAACATTGCACCAAATTATCATGATGGATGTACTTCTCATGTCACAGCACAGAGCATGCTGCTATGTCATGAATGCTGTGCAAAGGTTCAACAAAAAAGGACAATGACTCATTCCAAGTCTGTTCATTTTCCTAAACATGTTTCACGCTGTGAACATTATGCATTCATAATACTTCAAAGTACGATTGACTCCACTCAGGAAGTTGTGCTGTGCCAGCGTTTTCCATTTCCGCTTCTTTATTGGTTGTTTTTGGCATCATTATGCACAAGAACTGGCTCATTTTGAGTTGCGATATAAGCAACTTTTGAGCTTTTTCTGAAAATATGGATGCGATTTCAGCAACTTTCACTTATTGTGGCATGGTTGCGAAAAGCATAAGCTGCAAAATATTTTGGCATCTTTGGGAAAGGGCTAGCCATGAAGCCGAGACCTCTGGAAAAAAAAAGAAAAGAAAAAAAGCAGAGAACCCAGCAACGGTGACGCGGAGCAGCGGTCAAACGACTTGTGATGCTGGTGGAGATGATGGAGCCATGTTGGAGGCTGATAAGGAGTGCAGTGAGACTGAGCATCAAACGGATGATGAGGAAGTGACTGATGATGATGATGATGGTGGTGATGAGGACGATGATGATGAAGATGAGACGGAGGACGAGGATAAGGCGGAGGAGGTCGAAGGAAAGGAGCGGGATGAGACGGAAGAGAGCGACGTGAGCAAAAAGTCAGCTGTATTTTGTCACTTGTTATCACGTCCAGATTGTCTTGGTGTGTACGATGATTCTCACTTTTCTGTTTTGTGCCGTGCAAGTTATGTTAAGCAGTTGAAGGTTCTGGAAGCTGTATGTATTCGTGTGCATAATCCTGTTCTTTGTAAACAAAAGAAGCATGTAGTCGCGCTAAAGTTGTTCTCGTAGCTGGTTATCAGATGTAAATGTTGTGTCATGTTGCACTGTATCACCTCTTGCTTTGTGGCTGCACTCAGTTATATGCGTTAGCACTATGTTTGACACCTATTATGTAATGCTGTAGCACTTCCTTTGTTGTTCACACTTTTAATTAATTATGCTGTTATAAAATGTTCTATTGTTGTACACAGTACACTCAGTTCCGATACTATTCACTGATGAGCGGAACACGAAAATCGATTTTGAATAACATAAAAATCCTTAAAAATTCCATGAACTCGTTGTTGTCTGGCCATGTCTGCATCGATTATACTCCTAATTGCACTAATAAAAGAAAAAAACCTCGTTTCTCGTGATACATGTAGCTGCTTAGTGTTTCGACAGCACCTTTAGCTCTTAGTAGTCTTAGCTCTTACTCTCAACTCTCATTGTGTTGCACAATACAGTATAGTTGGTATTCCTTTACTCAAGTCACTGCATTTTGAGTATTTGTGTTATTTGTTCGTTTGGATGAGTTTGCCAGTACAATTCTTCTGGTGAGATGGCAACGAAAACGCTCCAGTATTGTAAGGATACGACACAGTAGATATTCTTATCATTGAAAGAAACACAACAAATCCACAGCCAGTGGGCACCGATTCGTTTTGACAGAACGTTCTTCTCTAGTGACTTCAGTGCTGGCATACATGTACAGTAAAACCTGTCTAAGACGACCACTGCTCAAGGGACCTTCAAAGTGTGGTCTCTGTAACCAGGTGGTCTCCTTTAGGCCTTGACGGATTATGCTAGCATAATTTTTCGCATAATTCCTACCAAAATCGAATAATTGCATACATGTAATTCGAGGCAAATTGCATACAAATTGCATAAATAATGGAATAATCCGCCTGTTCGCATCAAATTCCATAGAGTTGTACATGTATATGCACCAGGAAGTCATACATGTACATGTAGGTTTACGACTCCCTTGATAACATGTCCAGTCCACTACAATCAGTGACGGTCGTAGCTACAATTGTAGGTCGGACGGTGCGTAGACCCCGTTGAACTTTTGCTACTACAGTACAACGCCCTATACAAAAAAATTCCCTGTTATTTTGCACAGAACCATCATTATACATGTACATTAGCAGCATATGTGAGCATAATGCGGCATAATAGATAACTTTTAGCATAAAAATAGCATAATTCTGCAATTTTTCAGCAATGCGAAAAGCATAATTTCACGAAAATATTAGCATAATCCGTCAAGGCCTAGTCTCCTTATTATTATTATTATTATTATTAATTCAACATCTCCTGGCTCGTCAGAAGACTGCCAATATCATATGAGAAGTCGGGTGGTAGCCAACCACGGCGAACTGAATAATAAGGAGAGAAACAAAGAGAGTACTGCAAGGGGAGGCATGACGTAAATGGTGAGATTATTTAGGACGAAGAAGCTGAAGCTTGAACTCCTTAATGTCTGTGCATGCTTTAAGGCTAGTTGGCAGGGAAGACCAGAGAGTGTACGCAGAGAAGATAGGAGATTTCAGAAACAGGGAGGTATTGGCACGGGGTAATGAGAAGGAATGACGTGTTGATCTGGTGGACACAAACCAGTTATACTTAGCAAAGTGTTTGGGAGCCAGGTCTAACAAGATCATGTGTACAAGGATGCAAAGATGTTGCTGGTGTCGCTCTAAGAGGGGAGATACTGAAGCTAAACTGTAGAGACGTTGGGAGGAGAATGTTTGATTTTTGCGAAACAGGATTGTCGCCACAGAAGAATGCTCCCAGGTGCCGCACAAACACCTGGCGACCTTGCTGGGTGTTGTAATCAGCAACAGGTGATCCGATGAAGTAACCATAGAACATAGCCACCACGGATTCACACTAGAATACCTTTAGCCCATTGTGCAAGTGCAAAGAAGAGAGAGAGAGAGAGAGAGAGAGAGAGAGAGAGAGAGAGAGAGATAGAGATAGAGAGAGAGAGAGAGAGAGATAGAGAGAGAGAGATAGAGAGACACACACACACACACACAGAGAATGAGAGGGGAGCAAGAGACACATACAGAACGGGAGAGGACGCGAGAGGCGCTAACTCATAGAATGAAACCTTGTCATTCATCCTCTGCTACACATCGTGCAGTTTGCAATAGCAGACTGTAGGAAACCTAGTTGCTACACACAAGTACACACAAGTACAGTGGTCCCTCTATAATCCGGCACCATTTGTGCCACGAAAATCTGCTGGATTAGGGAGGGTGCTGGATTAACAAATCTGATTTACTGCTGCAATGTGCATGAAGAGGACATTTTGGCTACTGAAAAGTGTGCTGGTTTATCGAGGGTGCTGGATTATAAAGTGCCGGATTAGAGAGGGACGACTGTACATACCATGCCAGGCTCCACACCAAGACACATCTCATTGACGGCACGCTGCTCGCCATACATCTGCAGAAAGAGTACACAAGCATGCACACCCAAGCATGCACACCCAAGCATGCACACACACAAGCATGCACACACACACACACACGCATGCACACACACACAAGCATGCATACACACCTTGCATGCATACACAAGCAAGCATGCATACACAAGCAAGCATGCATACACGCACATGCACACACAAAAAACCAACACACGCGCATACACGCACATGCACACGGGCATGCAAACACAAATAGAGTTAAAATTTAACCCGACGCATAGAAAAGCAAAAGTGACCTTGAATGTATAGAAAAGAAACCCAGGAACCACAAGTTGCGCTAATGTCCACTAACACCACCAGTTACTAAACAATCAGCTCATGCGATAACATTGCGCGATAATTTATGCTTGGCTCTCCATCCGAGTCCGATCTTGAATCGGTGTGTACCATTCTCACAATACATTCTCACATTGCTTCATTGCCCAGACATAATTACTGCACATACAGAGCAGCAGTGCATTACTTGTACATCATAGCATTACATCATAGCATTGCATCATTACTCTACCACAATTGGTACGATCACTACGATGTCATAGTAGCAGCAATGCATACCATCATCACACACGCCAGCGTCACCAGTACAGTACTGTACTGTTCAGCATATCCTGCATCATTGCATGTTGACACGTAGCAAGACCTGCATCATTGCATGTTGACACGAAGCAAGACCTGCTGACATTGCTGTCAGAAGTACAGGGCATACTAGAACTCGGTGTGCACGTTCAACGTTGGTTTTAAATAGGTGAGATTATCATTATTATCAAGAGATGCGGCATATTATACTAGTAGTGCCAGCGTACCTTGGTTAAATTCTTCAGCAAAAGCAGGCTATTTTCACAGTTCCCCGACAAGACCCGCTGCCTCTCCTCCGCCACATCTTTATCCAGGACACTGTCTTGAGAATCTCCCACGGAGCTCTGACCATTGCCCTCATTGACATTGTCATCATCATCGTCGTCATCATCGTACAGCCCCCTGTATAGTGATGTGTTGACCGAGCTACGGCCACCAAGACCAGACAGCAGGCTAAGAGATGACATGCTGGGTGTGTGGCTGCTGCTACTGCTGCTGCTGGCACTGTGTGATTTGATTGATCTGCAAATGGGAGAATGAAGAGAAAGATCAGACTACAGTCAACCTTGTGAGTAACAACTTCCGGTGTAACAACAATTCACGAACAACGACACAATCTTCAAACCTACAGTCCATTCATCGGAAATAGTCCCGCTGGCTTTTGAAAGTCCGATTTGGGCCGAATTGAGGATCAAAAACCCACTTTAAATCTCGAAAATCTGGGTTTGGGATCTGCCTCTCCATACATTTTCCCATGGCATACCTGTACTAATTTTGTAAAACCTGGCTGGATTTCTGTTTCCCTGTTCTTGGACTTTCAGGTCTCAAATGTGGCAAGGAGTAATTGCACGGGTAACACAATGCAGGGTGTACTGTTGTTTTCATGATATCTACAACTACATATGTGCGGGAGACACCAAAAAGTTAGGGTGCCAGTTTCCAATGAATGGACTGTAGTAACCATATGGCTGCATACTTTCAGCCCGGCGGATAACGACAACTCGCAGATAACGACACTTTTTCTCATGCACAATCGACGGTCGCTAATAGCAAGGTTGACTGTACATAGTGTAAAGTGTAAACGCAGAAACGCTCTCATGCATTTCAACTTTGAATAATTCGTAAGCTGGCTTATCATGCGCCTGAAATCACCAGCGGCACACATACCCATGTGGCTCATATGAACACTTTTAAATGCTTTAGAACGTGGAACAAAGCGTTATTGCTGCGACTTGTTTCACGCTTACACGTTCTGAAGCTGCCCCCTTTGGCAAGATTGCCCGAAAAAAGGTGGTTTCCAGACACCAAAAAACTCAGACGGTGCACGCGCCTGCCCTTGCCGAGGATCTATGTGGACGTGGAGTCGGCCAAGCCGGATGACTGGTGCTGTGGAGGGGCCATGCTGGACACGTACACCGGGTCGGCTCGCACGCTAGTGTCGTCTGGCTTTATACGTGCGGCTAAGATGTGCAGCCAAGTGTCGGCGGTAAAGCAGGAGAAGCTCCTCGCCCTGGATGGCGAAGCCCTGCCGATTTCGGGGTCAATTTCACTAACGATTCGTCGCCTGGATGGACCCGTAAATTTGCCGCCTACCCGTGTTGTTGCGTTTGTAGTTCCTGAGCTGTCGGTTATTAATGCTGACCTGTTGCTGGGATCTGACCTTGTCCGTGCCATCGGTGGCGTCAGGTTGCAGTACTCTGAGTCAGGTGATCTGCAGTCCGTGTTGTTTGGTCCGTCACCCGCCAGTGCCGAGCCTGTGTCGTCTGTCGTAAGCGATGCTCTGCAGTCGCCGGATCAGCACCCGTCTCGGCATGTTAGCGTGGTGCAAGACGGTGAGGACGTGACGCTATCCGTCGAGGATGGTCAGATAAAGTGGCTAGCAGCTGAGCAGTGTTGGCAGGCAGCATGGAGGTGGAAGGACGACAGGCCACCTACCGGACGCATCGGCAGCGGCATTGGGGAGTACCCCCGGAAACTTAGTGATGATCAGGAGAAGCTGTTCCAGCATGAAGTGGACTCCTGGATCGGTAAAGGATGGCTCATCGAGCATGATGAAGCGGTACACAGAGCTCCTGCTGCAATTCTGCCATGGCTTGCAGTCAGCCAGGAGCACAAGCCTACTACACCAGTTAGGCCTTGCCTCGACTACCGTGCGCTGAACCGTGCCCTCGTGTCTCAGCCCGGTATGGATGCCTCCGTGTGTGGCGAGAAGTTGCGTGAGTGGCGTACGCACGATGCCAACGAGTATGAGATGTTGGATATTCGAAAGGCCTACCTGCAAGTCCGTATGTCACCTGAGTTGCTACGGTATCAGTGTGTGAAATAGAGGGGAAAGCTGTACGTGATGACCCGCATGGCTTTCGGGTTAAGTGTTGCACCGAAGTTCATGGACGTAATAGTCAAGTGGTGCACGCGCGATCACGATGGTGTTGACAATTACGTTGACGATCTGTACGTCCCGAAACCGCAGACGAAGGCTGTTGCGGATACCCTCGAGCGCTATGGCCTGCGCACGAAGCCAGCTGAGCCCGCCAATTCCGCCCGAGTACTTGGACTTCAGCTGTTTACGGGCCAAGATTGTCAAACCCGTTGGAAGCGTCGAGACGGAGTGAGTCTCGAGTGTGGCAAGCTGACCAAGCGTGGTGTATTCTCGTGGTGCGGCCGACTGGTATCGCACTATCCCGTGTGCTCGTGGCTACGACCTGCCTGCAGCTTTCTGAAGCGCCTAGCGTGTCGTGATGGTGGTGGTTGGGATGATGACGTCCCCAATGATGTGGTAACCTGTTGTGCCGAACTAGCAAGTCGCGTCCAAGATGAGGATCCGGCCACAGGCGTGTGGAATGCGTCAGTAAACGAGCAGCAGCTCACCGTGTGGTGCGATGCGTCTGATGTCGCATATGGCATTGTTGCCGAAGTTGGTGGTGAAGTCATGGAGGACAAGTCTTGGCTTCGCGATGCCGACGAGAAGAAACATATCAACATCGCAGAATTGGAAGCAGTAATCCGTGAGTTGTCGACGGCAGTCGAATGGAACGCCAGCAACATCCGTCTTGTCACTGATTCCAAGACCGTGTACGGCTGGGTGAAGTCGTGCCTGAACAATGAGCGGCGTGTCAAGGTGTCCGGTCTGAACGAAGTGTTGGTTCGCCAACGACTAAACATCATCGACGACATTGTCGCGACCGCGAAGCTGTCCGTCACCATTGAGTGGGTATCGTCCCAGCAGAACAAGGCTGACAAGCTGACGCGTGTCCCAGATTTGTTCATCCGCTGCTGGAAGAAATCAGCCAAGCCAGATGTAGTTGCTGCCGTCTCTGCACCCCCGAAGATTGTGAGTGCTATTGTGTTACAGGACATTCTTGATGCGCAGAAGTCTGATCCTGTTGTTGTTAGTGTGATTGAGTCAGTGCGTCATGGTCGTGAGATTTCCGACCCGGTATTTAAGAAATTGAAGTCTCAGTTGTCTGTATCTGATGATGGTTACTTGTATCGTAGTGTGAAGGTACCGCCGAATGATGTGCGTGTTGTACCAGTTGTGTCTCAGTCATTGCAGCAGCGAGTGGTGTGTCGTGCCCATGCTGTGAGCGGTCATTCCAGTTGGGAGACCACATGGAAGCTGTTGCGTGCGAGTTGTTTAGTAGTATGGCTGTTGTTTGTCAGTCGTGTGATGTGTGTGCTGCTGCTAATTCGAAGCGTGGGCCTGTTGCTGAGCCAACACGTCCGGTTATTCCATCTGGTCCGTGGAATGTAGTACAGCTCGATACCCTTGAGTTGGGTCCGAATAGAAGCCACCGGTATCATTGTGTTCTTGTCTGTACCGATATGTTTACTAAGTGGGTCGAGGTTGTCCCATTGGTTCGCCATGATGGTCCGTCTGTAGCAGCTGCGTTTGTGGATGTATGTTCCCGCTGGGGTGCCCCAGCAGTTGTACGTTGTGACAATGGAACAGAATTTGTCAATCAGGTAGTTACGTCTTTGTATGATGCATTTGGTGTAGAGGTGCGACATGGCGCAGTGCGACATGGCGCAGTGCGTCATCCGCAAAGTCAAGGTGGTGTAGAGCGTTTTAACCGGACTTTGCTGACTTTAATTCGCAAGACTGTGCAGGAATCCGACGATTGGGTGTCTGCTTTGAATGTATTATTGTACTATTATCGTATTCGTCCCCACTCTGCGCTTGGTGTTTCCCCAAGTGAAGCCATGTGTGGCTGGGTACCTCATGGCTTGATTGTGGACGATGAACGTTGTGACATGTCCCCCAGTGCATGGGTTGATAGCTTGTGTAGTAAAGCGGCTGTTGTGCGAGACTACGTGGAAAGTGAGTTGTCCTCTGCTGATTTTTGTTCAGCCTGTTGGGTGTGTGAACCCCTACAGTGTTGGTTCCACGGTGATGTTGCGGCAGGGAGATCGCCGCCAGAAGCGAACAGCCGTAATTGTTCAAGACACTAATGGTCGACATTCGGTGAAGACTGTCAATATTGATCTAATTAAGCCGTCAAGTGTGAGTGTGCCTGAGTATGATGATGCATGTGCTTCAAGTACTAGTGATTCTGATTCTGATGTACCAGCCCAACCTCTTCAAGTTGGTGGTCATCGTCTTCGCAACCGTGCTGGTCTCGTTCCTCCTGTTCGTTACCGTAGTTAACTGTTGACGTGATGTCACCAGGGGGAGGTGTGACAATATGACAATGTGTGTAGTGTGACGATACACTAGACACCCTTAGCAAACAACGGTAACGCTATTTTTTACGGTACTCGTACCTTGATCACCCAAATAGCGTTGAAGCTGCAGCATAAACGTTATGGGGGCTGATTTATCGTTGTGACCAACGGTACGTGTTTTAGCCAAATATTGCATAGTGACCGTACGCATTTCACCTTGTATCGCTTATATGGTGACAAAAATGGTTGTACCGCGCGAAATCAAAGCTATTCTCGTGGCAACAGCGTACTAAATATAGCGTGCATCTTGCTAAAGGTCGAACCCAAATCACGGTATTTTCCCCCTTACGATAATACCGTTACACCATAACGTTTTTTGCTAAGGGTGTCTATTGTGTGTGTAGACAAACATTACGATTATGTCACGTATTTGTTGTGGTGACAACTGTCATCAGTGTGTCATGCCTCTTACCTCATTGTAGCTTCATCCGTAGTCCGCTTCCATTGTCCTTGTTCTATATTCTAGTCTATTTCTTCTAGTGCTAGTCGTTTCACTTCTCATCTTTCCTTGAAGTAGTATATTTGAATTGTAATTGTTTTCCTGCAACGATCGCTCGTTGTGTTATTTATTTGTGTCTTGACTTCATTATTATTTCGCCAGCGCCTGCATGCACATGCTAGATTCTGTGCTCACGCGTGACTAATGATGTCATCGCTATGCCTTTGCTTGCTGCGCGTAGTCGCGTAGCTGGTCTTGTTGTTTTCTTTGCTTCGTTCGAGTTGCTGTTGCTCGACTTCGTTTTCTGATCTATTTTCTGCATTCAATGGTGGCCGTGATGGCTGTCGCTGCAATAGCAGCTTCAGCCACGACGGGCCTCTATCGGTTGCTCTGCCGCCATTTTGGATGCCATGTTAGACGTGTCTTTTCCTGGCCAAAGTGCTGGTGATTTTGTGTTCTTGTTGTTCTTTTCTTGTTCTCTCTCCTTTTCCTACTTGCATTTTTCGTGATTCATACATTTCCACCAAGAGGCTGCCGTTTGCGCTGGTGTGTTGTGTTGGGCGAAGAGGGGTGATAGAGAGACTAGATAGCTCCAGTTCTCCCACAAGAGAGAGACAGAGAGAGAGAGAGGGGGGAGAGAGAGGGGAGAGAGAGAAGTGACAGGTTGTTATGGAACTTCAGTCACGCAGGTATGCACGCCAACTCGATCAACAGGCAGTACGAAAGTAATTAGTTGTTATTCAGGGAAGAACATTTCAGAGAGAGAGAAACAAGTCGAGAGCAAAACGACAACATAAGAACTACTAATGAACTCATGGCAAAGAGTTCCCAAAAGGCCACTGAGTACAGCCAACTCAGATGAAGCATACTTATGGAGTATCGGGCTAGAGCGATACTGTATTATACTGAGTGCGGTGGGACGACTTCTACGCACAGCACGCAAGACTCGCAACAAAGCACCATACCGGAAATAACGATAGCATGATAAGACTGAAACTGAAAGCGTGCATACAGCAAGCAATGCCAAACAAAGGAAACACATCCATGCATCGTGTGCAGCAGACCACGATGATTGATGAAAGGGCAAACTAGAATTAAACTGTCATACTGGGTGAAACACTACCCATGTAGGCTTGTATGCTTACAGCATGCATGATCAATGAATAGTGAAGCAATAGACAGATAGATAGGTTCAGTTATATAATTATACATTACAAGGTGCGTGCAGAGAAAGAAAAATTAGAAAATGAAAAGAAAGTGGGGACCGACAGTGCATGTACATCAGAATCGGAGGGGAATAGGACAGACAGTGATTGTGCCGTCTACACCCAACGGACTACTACTGCTAGTACTAAGTAGACCAAACTGTGTGAGAATTTTATCAACCTGTATCTCCAAGGGAGTGCAGAATGATGTGCCTGTTCTTAAAATACGGACAGATAATTCCGCTGACGTAATAACTCCAGGAGAAACGCTATAATTAGTATAAACACAGTTGCCAGAGAAACACAAGCACAAAGTCTACCTGAGAACAGCGACCATGGTTTTGCTGGCGGTGCCACGTTCTTGTGAGAGTCCCGATTTGCATCCTCCAACTCCTTTGCATCGCGTTTGAATTGTTCTTGGAGCTCTAAGAACTCATCATCATAGCTTTCCACCCTTGCCATGATGATGAATGGATACTGCGGCCGTGCTGGGTCGCGTCCAGGTGGCAACTTAGGATTTTCACTCTTTAAGTTGGTGAGGATTTTGTAAATGCGATTGCGCTCAGCCCGCACTTGCTGGACGTCGTTGAACTGGCTAACGTATAACACCGATTTTTCCTTACGTCTTCTCTCCTCCGTGACGGCATCCCCATTCTGTGCCACCTGATGCACATCACCATCCTCCTCCTCCGCCCTGTTGCCCTCATTTTGTGTGTTGGCCTGCTGATTTTGATTGTGCTCTCCAGCTGGTGCACCATCTCCCTGGATAAATTGCCAATGTATGCCAGAATTTGCCGGCGGTCTGAGAGCATTCCTGCGAATCCACGCGGTCATGTTGTTGTTCCGGTTCACGATGCTTATGTGCAGTAACCAAATCTCTCCCGTGGTCTCCCCACGGCTCTGAGCCGTCAGGCGTTCAGCGAAATCACGCTTTGTGATAGCGTCGGGAGCCGGGCCTGCCATTGTGGATAATGAGGACGAAGAAAGGGTTTGTGAGATCGGAAATTGGACCAGGACGAAGGGGATTGACTGACTTGGGCGACTATAAACTCAGGGATACCACTCCAAGCATCGCGTGGAGTGACTTTGAATCGACTGCTCTCTGGATTTCAGAAGGGCATATGCGAGCTGAGAAGTACAATGTACATGATTGCACATGTACAGCAATCATGTGCGCCCTCTCGATCTTTGACTGTGCATGATGGTAGGAAAGCCTACGGCCACAGACATGGATATGGCTCGATCTCGGGCCTAAGCCAAGGCAAAGCTTTAAAGGCTAAATGAAGCGGTGCATGTCCGGGACACTCCATACCTGTACAGTACAATGGGTGAGCAGTCACTGAGCACTCAGTGACTGTCGACATAATGATAACACTCTGGACTTCGGTGACAACATCGACCCTAACCGTAAAAGGAAACACTGTAGTCGTTTGGGTTTCGCTACCTGTCACTTTCACAGGTACTTTGACAGTCCTTCGTTGACGAACACAGCACAGGACGGACAGCACAGGACGGACGTACATAATAATGACTGTATCAGTGTATGGTGAAGCTAGGTTGATGTACGGGCGAAGAACTGGGTGGACGAACACCGAGATGAAACGCAACGCATTTTGAGTGCGGTGCAGATGTGACTAGCTGGCGTTAGTACATACAATCATCATGCACATTGTACATGTATAGTGAAACCTGTCTAAAAGACGACCGCTCAGGGGCCTTCAAAATCTGGTCTCTGTTACCAGGTGGTCTCCTTATCCAGGGTCATTTGACTGGAAATAGCATCCCTCGGTCCTGGTAGCACTGGTCTTCTGGAACAGGTGGTCGCCTTATCCGAGTGGTCGCCTTCACAGGTTTTACTGTACCAGTTACAGTAACTGCTTCCTGTTGGCTGCGGGATCTAGGAAGCGTCCGACCTGGTGTCACCATGAATCCTACAGGATAGTAGCAATCTGTCTACTAACCATGGTTGATAGCATGCTAGCAGACACATGTCGCTGTCAGTGTGACGGTGGTATGAGCTGACACATAATGTAAACAGATGCAAAAACTAAAAAGAAGAAGAAAGAAAGCAAAGTTACTAGTACTAGTAGTAGTTCGCAGTCCGCGTTACCTAATGCTACATGGTATAGAACAGACTAGAGGGTTGTGTTGATCTAACTACATGCGGTGAGACGGCATCTTTGCCTGTAAATCTGATGAAGTAAAATAGAACAACAACAACATGTATAACTGCTGAAGTAAACTTGCCAGTTACTAAACGGTAAAGTAATGTTCACATATTCGCGATACCACCGGCTGAGAAACACACGTGACCAGCTTAGGAGGTTGCTCACTACAATCTCAGTACTACTGTACAGGAAATTCGGGCAGGTTGGGCAAGTGTGTCTAGCACCTCCCATTGTTCCATCGTATCGCTCCGGCTGTTGGTCACCATGGCATTCACCCATGCCAGCCAGTCTTGTTTAGACAGAACGCCTCGCGATAATATTTAGAAAAGCGATCCTGTCAGCTTTTCTATTATTGTGTTCACATGGCAAGAAAAACGACATCGCTATGCTACGTAAGTTTCTACGTAAGGTGCTCGGTATTTGCCCTGGAGGGTGAAAGGCTCCGGTATCGCTCTGCCATCTTGGAAGATGGTGCTCGTCTTGATGTGGCGGCATCTGGTGTCTGGGGAAGTCGTTTTGAGCGCACGTTCTGTGATGTTCGGGTTTTTAACCCTCATGCGCGCTCGAACACTTCCTCAACTCCCGCGTCCACCTATGCCAAGCACGAACAGCAGAAGAGAAGGGCCTACGAAGAACGCGTCAGGGAGGTGGAGCATGCTTCCTTTCTCCCACTGGTATTCAGTGCATCTGGTGGGTGCGGCAAGGTAGCCCACGCTTTCCTGAAGCGTCTTGGCCATATGGTTTCGGAGAAGCGGCATGAACCCTACTCCTCCGTCATGTCCTGGATCCGCTCTCTTGTCTCCTTTGCTTTGGTTCGATCCTGCAACATGAGCCTCCGTGGTCACCGTGCTTCTCCCTACCGCAGTCGTTTGGATGCTGCCACTCCTGTTGTGCTGGCAGTCAACGACTGTCAGTTGCGTGACTGAGACTCTTGCGGAGTAGCCGTGTCTAGCCACACTTTTTACTATCCGATGATCTTGTTTTGTTTGCTATGACTCCGTGATTTTCTGTTGGTTGCTTTTCTGCTGTGCGAATAAATGCAGTGTCGACAGTCGGAAAAAAAAACTTAGGCTACGTAAGTCTCTCGGTATTAGATCTACCAACGGGTGGT